AAAGTTGCTAATTTGAAATATCCTTTTTCCTCTGTTTTTGAGTCAAGAGATGGTATAAATACTGCGTATAAGAGAGTAGTTCGATACCTCGCCGAGAACTTCTTTTGAGAGAACCTCTTATAAAAGATCATCGTCTTCAGAAAGTAAGTATTTTTATTTAAAACTTTTGCCATTGACAAAAAGTTTGACTTAGACCTAACTCTAGATAAGAGTAAACCTTCGAAAAATTTACAAGTTCATTGACTTATTATACTAGAGAGGTTGAGGCAGACGTTTTAAACGTGTAAACGTGTACTTGTAGCGTTCGGCGCCGCTTTCATTTTTATAACGAATCTATTATTTTAAATAAAAATTAACAGTTAGACATAAGAATTCGGCAATTATTTTGTAGGGTTTATATCTATCATATGAAAAACAAAATATTAAGGAACTACAATGGGAGGTTCGTTTCCTTGGAGTTTAATATTCTTTATACTCTTTCTTGACTATATTTAAATAAATACTCGCTAATATAAATTTAAATGTATAGGAATTAATTGAAATATATTTAAAACTAATCTAATTGTACATACTTTAATATATAACTAATACAGATAGTGTTACAATTTTATTATGTTTTTAGTTAACTTAATTAAATAAGTTATTTTTAAAATAAATTACCTGATTGTTGTAAAATTTATTCTTAAAGTTTATTGACATATAATAATTTACATTGAGGTGAGATGAGTTCATAAAAAAAAAAAATGTATATAATCAGAGTATTATTTTATAAATTATTATCTTTAATTAGAGTTTATCACTTAAATAAATATTATTTCAAAGAAATTATGGTTTAGAGAGTAGATATACACAGAGTAATTATAAAAATGATTACGGGAATAATAATAAATTGGGCTTCAATTGGAAGAAATTGTAGACATATAAATTCCCACTGTCGTCTGTATTTGTGTCATTCCTTAAGTAGAAGTAAGATAGAAGAAAGATGAGGTTTTACATGGAAACCGTATGGACAGGAGACCCCTTCTGACTTATGTTATTTCAATTCTCGTTAACATCGTTTATCGTTACGTAAATTTAAAGTAATTTGATTAAAAATAATGCTTGCGAACGTAATTCTAACACCAACAATTCAGATTAAAACTAGAAATTCGCATTAAAAAAACTAGAAAAGGCATAAAATGTGTGGGTCAATAATAGCTGGGTGCATTGTACCAAATGACTACTTGTCAGAAAGTAATTGCCGTCCTTCAATTGTCGTCGACGTTTTAATGCCACGGTAAATATAAGGAATTCTCGTTCCAGTCATTGAACCAAAAGCAATTTTTGTGTCATTTAAACGATTATTTCGTTATTTGCAGGAGACGTGTCACGTAACGTTAGTTGTTTACAAATTTCGTAATAAGTTAGAAGATACGGGTTGATCACTAGTGTAGCGGGTAAACGACAACATACGTAAATTACAATAAAAAAAAGTCGTTAAAGGAAAGAATAAAAATCGTCGTCGTCGTCGTCATCGGTGGCGAGAACCTCTCGACTGTTCGAAATTGTGGAGTAACCTTGACTTTCCGTAGATGGAGAGCGTTAAGTATGAAAATTTCTTTTATATTCTATTGTTAAGTAGTAATTAATATTTTCTTCTACTTAATATACTTATCTGCAGACGTATAAATTATTCTAAGCCCTATGCTTAAGCGAAGGCACGCATTGGTAACGTGTTGCTTTACCAGTCGACCCCCCTATAATACTGTTGATTTTCCGTTTTATATGAATTCCATGTTGTACGAGTCACTTAGATTTTACAAATACGTGTGCCGGACTGTGAACGGCTCACGTATTTGTAAAATCTAAATGACTCATACAACATGGAATTCATATAAAACGAAATTATCAACAGTGTTATACGGGGGGTCGACTGTACCTTATCCCGTCAAACTATATCTTTGTATATGAACATAGTTTCGAATGGTTTTATATTCTTAATTAATATTTTAAATAATTCTTATTAGCTACAGATAGAAGTACTTAGCAGCATTTTATATTTTCTTTTAAGGAAATGTAAAATTTATTAGAAACGTGTTGCAGGCGTTTATCATAGTCATGAATCACAGTTTTTAATTATAGTAGGATATTTTGTAATTTATCCTCGAAATATAATGTAAATTCGATTTAGAAATAAATTTTCACTGTTCGAGATAACAGCGTATCGTCTCACTTCTGTAGATGGAGAGCGTTAAGTATGAAATTTAATACTTTAAATTTATACTTAAATTAATATTCTTATTTAAAGAAATATAAATTATTTTTATGATGTNAATCTAAATGACTCATACAACATGGAATTCATATAAAACGAAATTATCAACAGTGTTATACGGGGGGTCGACTGTACCTTATCCCGTCAAACTATATCTTTGTATATGAACATAGTTTCGAATGGTTTTATATTCTTAATTAATATTTTAAATAATTCTTATTAGCTACAGATAGAAGTACTTAGCAGCATTTTATATTTTCTTTTAAGGAAATGTAAAATTTATTAGAAACGTGTTGCAGGCGTTTATCATAGTCATGAATCACAGTTTTTAATTATAGTAGGATATTTTGTAATTTATCCTCGAAATATAATGTAAATTCGATTTAGAAATAAATTTTCACTGTTCGAGATAACAGCGTATCGTCTCACTTCTGTAGATGGAGAGCGTTAAGTATGAAATTTAATACTTTAAATTTATACTTAAATTAATATTCTTATTTAAAGAAATATAAATTATTTTTATGATGTTTCTCTTTATTTAATTTTATAAAATATTCACTATAATAATGATAAATTAGGATGAGAAATTTTAATTCCCATTTTTCACTCGATCCTGTAAAAATAGGGATCAACGTATAGATTGATAGAGTTAGAAAATTAATGGTAGACATTTTGATGATTGATACTTTTTAATAGAATCTATATAAATGGCTATTACAGCTTTTATAGGATTGTGTAATGCTTTTATGGCCAATTGAAATGCTTCAAAATCTATTAGGATTGCATCCTATACTTTTATATAAGTAAAAATTAGGATTAGTAACACTTAATAAAACATTAATAATACCTTATATCGCTGAGAATACTTTATTTATGTTTCAATTTTTCTTTTATAAAGAACTTCCATGCCGAAGCTAAACCCTCTGCATCTCTTGCATTGATACAGCCATCCTTTAATTTACTTTTATAGATTTCTATCTTTTTATGTTGCAAAGCTAACGATAGGAACCGCACAAAATTGAGAATACTTCTACACTAGGGATTGTATACCGGTTAACCGATAAATTGGCAAAAAAACATTCGGTAAATTTACCGGTAATTCGGTAAATGAAAAATCCATACTAGAAATTTCTATGTAGAAAATATTGTGTTTATAGATATTTAAATGGGCTAAAGGGACATTGAAAAAAAAAACAAAAAAACAGGTAAGTACAGTAGATTCCCCTATAAGACGGGTTCCTATAATTACGATTCCTATAAGACGGCGAAAAAATTGTGGCGGTATCCGTAAACAACGGTAAAAAAACTCCTATAATTACGTAAAACGTCATCAGGCGGCCGAACTACTTTCCCGCGCCGTCCAGCGCCACGCTACGGACAGTTTAGGCGGGTAAATTGAGTTTAGTATCGTCTGTACATATAATTATATATAAATTAGGTACTGTATATGTAATTATATATTAACTTAATTTATTGTAACTTTATTATAATTATATATATACTTTCCGCCGTCTAGCGCCACGCTACGGACAGTTTAGGCGAGCTATCGTCTGTACAGTGTGTAAATTAGGTACCGTAAGTCTAATACAGCACTGTAATTTTATACATTTCTTGTGAAAGGAACATTTCTTATTCAACGGCGATTAAAATTATTTATATTAATGATGTCTCCAAAGTTCAACGAAGTTTTCGCAGAAAAATAACATCAGAAATCGCGGCCGCGGTTTGCTGCGCTGTTCCGCGACGAAAACAAGCTTGAGCAACGGCGATATCGAACGGTGCACACTCGGTAAGTAATCATACAATTTTTTGTTTATAGCGTAGTTTATACGGATTATTTCCAAAAAAATTATACATATTTTGGAAATGTTGAGTCGAATTAGTCTAGAATCGATTAATTTTATGGAAGAAAACCTTTCAAACAGCCGTAGTCCGTAAACTTCACACGTGTCGGGCTGTGATTGGCAAGGACTCGTACAAAATTGATTCATAAAGAACGGAACGTATCTACCGTGTTATAGGGGGATCGACTGTTATAAGCAACAATATACCTCATTATTAATTTTATGTGAGATAGTTTTTGTTTAATTTTAATTTAATGACCATTCGTCCAACAAGTGTTGAATCAGAAAGGGTATTCTCGGGATCTGGATTATTTTGTTCAAAAAAACCACTGAAGCCTCCGCCTGTGCCATATTAGATAAAACCGTGTTACAGTGTCCTTTACTAATGTCATAATTAGCCGTTTAATTATAATTAGTCGTTTTGTCGTGATTATAGGCCTATATATCATAGGTTTATGTATAAGTGAAGATATTAACTTTCAACTGTAAATTCTCGAATGACTTACTGGTAATATTAATTAAGATCGGTGCAGACATATGTAATATAAAAGGGTTTTTATTTAGGTTCATAATTGTTATTTAAAATCTTTCATTGAAGTGCCAATAACTATACATCTTACCTTATAATTTGCTCTTTTCATAAAGTTTCAATGTATTATTTGCACCAGAGACGAGCTGGCATACGACTTATACGACGGCGAAGACGATGACGGCATGACGGAACCTTTGTGTCCAGTTGTTATTTTTCACGGTACCTTCGATCACAAAGGAAATTGGGTGAATATTGCTAAAGAAATTGCCGAGAAAACAGTCAGAAAGGTAATTCCTTCGTTACAGGTAATTGTTTTAATATAGACTGGACCCTTTTTCGTATATCCGTGTTTAAGGTATACGTGTTGGACATGCGAGATCATGGAGATTCGCCAAAAACATCGACCATGTCCCACGATAGTAACGTAAGAGATTTGGAGAACTTTTTAAGAAAGCTGAAGAAACCTTCGGTGTTGGTAGGACACAGTTTAGGTGGAACAGCTGCCATAGACTTAGCCTTTAAACAGGTTTGTTAGTTAAATTATACATTAATTTTTTTAAATACTACGATGTACTTAATATTTGATAAATATAACGTAGCCAAACTTAGTTAAAGAATTGATAATGATCGACATTTCGCCGTTGAAATATCCAGAAAAGGAAGAAGATTATGGTTTGAATGTTTGCAACGAAACAAAACGACTGATACTTAAACTGTCAACAATTACTAATCAAGTTGAGGATATTTCTATAATAAAAGAAGAATTTAATAAATCAATTATGGTAAATTCCACAATATTAATAATGTTATTAATTATGGGAAAAAAATTATTAAGTTTAAACGAAAGATTTTGTCATTAGTCTCCTAGTTTAAGTAAGATTATGTGCTCGAATTTGGATAAACATGGTGAAAATTGGAGATGTAAAGTTAATATAGAACCTATAGAGAAGATGGGAAAGCTGAAAGCAATGAGAAAAGTTTACCCTTTAAGAGGAAAATTTGAAGGAAGATGTCTTCTTATTCACTCAGATTCATCTGGATATGTCGTGTAAGTACATACATACTGTTTATTTCTTCTATAACTATGTTTTCTTTCTTACTATTTTTGTGTCGCGGTGTTATCAAAACACGACAATGCATATTATGAAACAAAGAAGTGGTTGCAAGCCTTGAGGAATGGCTTAATGGAATGTTGTAATTCGAGCTAAAATTTAAGTAAAATAGGAATATATATAGTGTAAGATTTATTTTATTTAATATAAAAATATATAAAAAATAATACGTTTTTATATTTTAAAGTCCTGGATGTGACTACGAAGTGTTAAAGACGACCTTTCCCAAGATAAAGATTGTGTGTTTAAAAAATTGTAGTCATTGGATCCACGTGGATATGCCAAGAGAATTGACATATTATATTATTCAACACCTCAATAGAAATAGCGTCACGGCTCATTAAACACAATAAATCAGTAGCTTTAATTATTATAAATTTAAAATGGCTTTCGAAATAAGGAAAATAAAAGAAAATAATGAAGTAAAAGTGTTGGAAATTTTATAACTCCTTAAAAAATATATTATGAAATTAGAAGTACAGTTTTAAAGTATATAAGCACGATCTATCCTCGTTATAACGAACTAAACAAGAGCAAACGTGGTCCGTTAGTAGCGAATATCGATGACACGGAGATGAATATCGATGTATCTGATTAATTAATAACTGCCAAGTCACACCCGGCGTAGTGTTGACTTCAAAAATTGCTTGTCGATCCTGTTTGATACGTTCAAAATCCAATAAACCGTTGAATCGTTACCTTACCGTACAATGTAACCTTCCCGTGTAATTATGTAATTCGAGGATAAAAATGCAATTAAAATGCAGGAAAAATTTTCTTGTTTACTTTATTACATTAGGAAAGTCTTTAATAAATAGAAAGAGAGGTATAAAAATACATGAAGGATTACACAAGTTCCGCTAGGGTGTTTTCAGGCGCAGCAGTCGGACCGTATATAACCATTAAAAAATTTAAAGTATAAAAAACCGATGGGAATATTTAACTCGTTCCGTAGAAAAAGAGGGCCCACCATTGGCCAAGCGGTGTTTGTATCCTAAACACTAGGAATTCGATCGTGAGTATGCGCCTCGCTCGGATGGGCTGACCACGTGGAATTTCCCGGGTTTTCTCCACGTCTGTAACGTCTAAATAGGGGCCAGTTTCCCTTAAGGAACACCTCCTAGATCCAATACACCTTTGACAACAGAAATTTAATAGTATCTAATGAGAAATGTTCTATCTACAAAACAAAACAGTAAAATGCAAATTTATTTACTTATTTATTAAACATATATATTATACACAGAACATTTTCATTCACAATATGTAGTAATATAACGGTAAGTTGATTTATAATATCTCAAGGTCGTACGAAACTGGATAACACAACTTTTAATTAAGATGTAAACGTCATAAAGGTCATTTATAATGGACGGTGACGTTATTTAGACATTTGTATTTTATTGATCTAACGTTTCGTAAAGAGATTTTGAGAGTTGGAGGAAGACATCTGAGCCTTAGACATAAGGCAATCTGGAGGGTGTGAGAACTTTAAAAAGAAAAGTACTAATTGTTATTGCTTAAAATAGAATTTTAATTATTATTGACGTAAAATTTAAGAAACAGTACCAAAAAAAAAACATATAAGTTATCGTAATATTTCCTTGAATGACCTCAAAAAAATAAAAGCCTTCGAGCAAGTTTGGGGAAACACTCGCGTGTAACGTATTTACAAGTATTTATTTAAATAGAATCTTGGGTTATTCCAAAAAATTAACCATAGCTTGACGACATTGTTTTAACTAAATATTACAGAATTAAACCCTATAATAGTATAATTAAATTTGTAATTATATAAAACTTATAATTAAAATTGCTGATCTGTTAGAAAAACAAGAGAAACAAGTAACATACCTACAAAAAAAGAAATATTAACATAAGACGTTCACCAATCTCGATCAAACTTCTCCCGTGTATAGTTTATTGTATTAAATTTCACTATATAAGCTACACTAGTATAATATAAATAGGATTTTTAATAAGGTGTACTGAAAACAATACTAAAATACGCTAAAACTATAATTTAATTTGTTCTCTATTCTATATGACCTCGATCCTTTGTCTGATGATCACACATTTAAATAATTTTATATAAAATTTAATTCTTCCACCCTTTATTAATGTCTAATTATAACATTTACTATTCGAAAATCATTTTTCTATATTTAAATTAACAGAGAAACAGGTTTGTGTTAATACACCACACAGTTCCTAGTATGAATGAGTTAATTTCCAGGAAGTAGGTTAATGTAGTGTTTAAATTTAATCATTGTATACGTGTTTAAGAAGATAATTTTCTTTATTATATAACTTTTGAAATACAAATTATTGAAAGAAATCGTATAACAACGAGCCTTTTCCTACTCACCCCATTAGTTAGTTGTAAGAATACACCAATATTTAAATTGAATTTATAACTTGAAAGGGAGGTACTTTTTTATACGAAACACCGTTTTAAGTATAAAGTGTTTCCACACGGTTGTTGGAAAGAAGGGGAGCCAAAAACTCATCATTTCGTGAAACCAGTAACCGGTGGTGTAGTCACTTACTCCTAAAGTTTTAATGGCGTGTTTAGTATATTCTTTGCTGGACGGTACTAAAACTTTCACAGACATAAACTTTATTAATCTGGTAGATACGTAACTCGGTATGAGCGATTGTATGTCCACTCCTGTATCCGAATATTCGTAAATAATTCCTCTAGTGAAACGATCGGAGAATGCTTTACACGATGAATATATGCTTAAACGTGGCATGGGATTGAGCGAAGAGAAGGAGGACACGGTAATAATGGCACCTCTGTTCTTCTCCAACATTGTTGGAAGTACCATATTTGTCAGATTTACCACGGCACCGATGTGTAAACCGATCATAATTAACATATTTTCTTCTGTTTCTTGAAGGAATTGACAAGGAAGTTTGCCAGCTACTCCGGCATTACTAACTAAAACACCTATCTCCTTCCCCTTTAGTTCTTCCCGCAAACGTTGATAAACACTACTTTCTGATAAATCAGCATTGATGTAGCTGCATTTTACACTGTACAATTGTTCGATTTCTTCGGATGTATTTTGAAGAGCTTCTAGTTCGTTACTAATGAGAACAATGTTCATACCTTTTTTAGCAAATTCCAATGCGTAGCTTCTTCCTATACCGGAGCTACCACCGGTTACCACTGCCCATTCTCCATATTCTTTACGAGGAGGGAAACACTGGCGAATGATATACACGTAGAAAAATCGATAAACACGTAGAAAAATCGATAGCAGAATATAAAATGTTGCCAAAACACCAACAGGAAACAGAATATATTCGTAATTCTGAAGAGAATAAGAAGATCCGTAACACCAAAACTGCTGACCGGCTGACATTTTGCTATTGTAATAATGTGTGAGACTCGTATATAATCTATCAAGAAATCCCCTTAATGCTATTGGAGACGTTCCAAATTCTCTACCCTTTCGAAGAAAACAGTAGATTTCTCAATCTGTAGGTCGTGATCCGATAAATGGAAATAATTAATCAATAATTAGCGCTGTTATATTTAAGTTTTAATATATTATAACTGATAAATACAATATAAAAAGACTATATAAATTTATATTATTTTCGTGTTTTCCCTTGTTGTTTCGAAACTTTAGGTAAATTCTCCAAATTTCGTNTTGCTCTATCCGAGTATGGAAGCTTGTAAGATTGTTGGATTTCTTATGATTGCCAATTGTAAATGTACAGAGAGTTTTTGCTCGAAAAGGAATAGAAGAATTTCATCAATTTTCTTTCGGTTTTACATGCATTTTGTGGAATTATTTTGGTGGTTAATGACAATTAAAGCTCCCCTAGAAATGATTGACGGTAATATAATATGCGGCGGTTGGGGACACGCACTTGGAAAGAAACTGAAACCCATAGAATTGTATGTGGTTAAGACGTCGTTCTCTTCCAGTAGACAGTTGTGAAATAATAGTGTTTAAATATATTTTATTTATTTTATTAGAAAAATTATTAAGAAATAATACGTGTAGATTTTTAATGTAAATAAGAATTCCGATTATTTTGTGGTGATAAAAACATGAAACGATTATTTATTAATGTAAATTTCTTATTAATTCTTGAAAATATGCCAAGGATTATTTTAATGTTTTCGTCATTGATACAAGGATTAAGCATCGTATTTGCATGTTAGTGATTATTTTATTGTATCTACTTATTTTTTATTATTTTTTTACTGTCTGAAGTCCTTATTTTTTGAGTTAATTGTGTGAAAAATAGGAAACGTTAAAGGTCATCAAGTGTTATATGATATTCACTGCTATATACTGGTACTTAAATGGTGTGTTGTTCATCTTGGGAGGATTTAAAATGTAAATTAAGTGGTTAAAGTTATATTGTAAAATTCGTTATAATTTGTATATTAATAACAATGTTTATACTAATGTATATCCCCCCTTGTAATAGACGAATATGTTCTAATACAAACTACTTATGGCTTGTTTACAAGCTTTAACTATACTAAATTTAGTATAGTTAAAGCTTGTAAACAAGCCAAATAGTAAAAATTAGTTCTTTTTCAACTCATTTTTTCATCTTGGAAATTATTTTATTTTTATTTTCTTCCATATATATTTGTTAATCGTTAATAATTATGCCGCGATAATACTTCATAATACAGTCGACCTCCCTATAACACTGTTGATTTTTCCGTTTTATATGAATTCTATGTTGTACGAATCATATAGATTTTACAAATATGTGTGCCGTGCTGTGAACGGCTCACGTATTTGTAAAATCTAAGTGACTCGTACAACGTAGAATTCATATAAAACAATAGGGGGGGGGGTCGACTGTATATAGATTTTACAACCCAACTTCTCGACCTTCAACCACAAGTATCGATCTCCCTAATAAAGAAACCCACACGCAAAATTTCTGAAATTTTCAACAAAAAGTACAGGAGTTATTCAGCTTCAAAGAGGATAAACAAGAAATCGTGCCCATACATATATACCTACACACCTACACACACACATACTAACATCCATACATACAGAAAAATAACCTCGAAAATAGGTAATTATTGATAATTTACGAAGAGAAATACATCAACCATGGAACAGTTTCATTTATAGAGGACGTTATGTGAATAGAGGTATAATAGAGTCGTTTATAAAACAACTGAAATACAGTCGACTCACCTATAACACTGTTGATAATTCCGTTTTATATGAATTCCATGTTGTACAAGTCACTTAGATTTTACAAATACGTGAGCCGTTCACAGCCCAGCACACGTATTTGTAAAATCTAAGTGACTCGTACAACATAGAATTCATATAAAACAGAATTATCACTAGTGTT